ATCCTCCTTAAAGACTGTACTCATGTTAGCTGACCAAATGATTCAACGAGTTGAATTTACACACCGTAGGAATTTTGTCCATCGTGATATTAAACCAGATAACTTTTTAATGGGAAGAAAACCATCATCTAGCGGACAAGTTTCTTCATCCACCAGCACGACAGCAAATGGAAACTTGTCAAGTGATAACACTGTGTATATGATAGACTTTGGATTATCTAAAATGTACATTAGCGATAAAGGACACATTCCTTTAAGGAAAGATAAACACCTCACAGGTACTGCTCGTTATGCTAGTTTGAATAATCACAAAGGATATGAACAATCAAGAAGAGACGATTTGGAATCACTGGGATATGTATTATTGTATTTCCTCCGAGGAACACTTCCATGGCAAGGTTTGACAGGAAAGACTAAAGAAGATCACTATAACAATATTTATAACAAGAAGAAGAATATCAAGGTTGTTTCTCTTTGTAAGGGTTTACCTATTGAGTTTGCTACTTATTTGAATTATACCAGAGGTTTGAAGTTTTTCCAAGAACCTGACTATTTGTATCTGAGGAATTTATTCCTTAATTTATTCGTGAGAGAAAGATACTCATTGGATTATGAATGGGATTGGATAGTTCAAGAACGAAAGCAACGCACGGAACAACAATCACAACAAAGATAATTGAATAATGCTATGGCTGTAAATATAGTTCTTAATGCGCGTTATATTCTCCATGACAATCAAACCCCTAAATCCCTTCCTTTCTCCCCTTTACCACCTTATTGTAATATCAATATAACTCACTTTGTGTTTTGTATTTTATTGTAAAATTAATAAGCTAATTGCTTTCTACAGTTCAAGTTGACTGAATCAATTTTGTTTGGTGAGATTGACATGTAATCTTCCAAACGAATCAACCTTTTGACATGTTTAGTTTATCATCTCGGATTGGATGGAGAACATTTCTTCCTGCTTCTCCGTTGGATTTTTATAGTATCTCATGCTTTGACTTTGTAAAATTAAGCGCAAAACTAATTTGTCCTTAGATTACCAAGATATTCGTTCTCAATCTAGAAAAAGTTGGTGCGAAAGGATTCGTGAACTTCTAATATTTTTCACAAGAATTAGTACAACTATTAATATGTAAATGTAAATGTAATACAATTACAATTTATTCGAATATTTTGTAATAATTTACAACTATTGAAAAAAGGCCACTTTATATCATTATCGATTTTCTATTGCCCCATTTGAACCTGTAAAAACAGGCAATATTTACAGAACCAACCCTATCTCATTAATTTTTTGACACTTTCGTATTTGTGTTGAGTTTCGGCATCCTCTCTTACCACTAAAACATTTCTCATGCTCATCCATCATTTCCAATATTATCGTAAGAATCGAAAAGCGCCCAAACGTTTAAATCGTGGTTTCTAAAGGCAGTCCTTTATTCGAAATGGAAGAAACCCTACAATATTAGAGAACAATTTTCGATAACATTCACCAGTCCCGAGGGCACGATTGAAAAAAAACGAGCTAACTGATCCATCACCACCACATTATCCTCTTCTATTCGAAACTAATTCTCTCTGATTCAATAGAAGAAGAAAAAATCACAAGGTATTTTCCTACTCCGAGAAGAACAATTATACAGTTTGCCTTGTTTTCCAAATTCACTCTTCATCCCATACAAACATAGTACCGTATTGTGTTTCACCGTAAAGTCTCCAACTTCATATAACAAAATCACACAATGAGCATCACCATTGACACGCTGCCTCAACAGCAACAACCTCATCATCAAATCGGCAGCACAAACACTCCAACAACAC